GCGGTCTTCCAAAAAACCAGAACATGGCATTCTTGTCATAGTCAATCACCCCCATTGTACGGGGAAGGGACTGTTGTATTCCAAACAGAAAGCAGCTGGAAAGCTGCCAGGATCTGCACCAAGGTCCTATGTCAGAATCAACCACAAGAGTCAGTCCCACAGGAGGAACAGCAGCCATCTGTACAAAACCAAAGGAGGACACTGGGGCTCTGTTGCCTAAGCACACCCAGAAAGCACACACTTCTGCTGATAGAAGTAACTCACATACACTAGCAGCAACAGACTCCAAGTGGGTCTGTCGACTTCAACCAGCCACTGCAAAAGGAGGCATGTCCTCACCTGTAGGGCGCTCTCTCATACCTGGATGCGGTGCTGCAGGGGAATTTGCCTCTCATGCCCCCCTCCCTGGTGGCCAAATCCTTGGCCAAAATGGCCAGTCCCAGCCAGAGTCTTCTTCTGACTCCCTCTTTGGGTTTTATGTGGCTCAGCCCTCTGGTCAAGTCATGCAACAGTTCACTCCCGCTCCTGGGGTTACAAAAGTCCAACTTAAAGTCCAAATCAAATGTGTAAACTAGTTTTTCTGCCTCTCGCAGACCCCACTGCTGTACTCTGCATTCTTGGCCTACTTCCCCTGGCTCCTACAGAGTGTCTCTGATCTTGCTTCTTCCCCAGCAGAATTCCCCTACTGCCTCCCTTCACCAGGGACTCCAGCAGTTCACCTTTGAGGACCACGCTGCTCCTTTTAGGCCCAATGAGGGCCTCCCCACTGACAAAAGCATACTCTTCTCCCTGTAGATCTGTTTCTCCTGTTGCAGGCCTAACTCAGGGCTCTCCCACATAAGAAGCCTATGCTGCTCCCTGTAGGTTACTCAGCCTACCTCAGGATCTTCCCAGAGGCAAAATCCCCACTTTCCTCCCTCTACTGAGTTCCCAGCTCTATTTAAGTAGTGCTCTCCCTGATCCATCACCACAGCTGAGGTAAGTCTTTCTCATTAAGCCCCATTACACCCAGCTGGGATCACTAATTGGCCCTTATGTTACCAGTTCATAAGTGAGGCAGAGGGATAGTTGCTAAGTCCTGGGCAAGTTCTGAGCCTAGCTTGTCTCAAAAGGCCTGCTAGCCTGTGACGAGGTATTTTAATATCAAGAAGAGGTTTTGTGATTGGAAAGTCATAGAAGTTTAGGGATGATAATGATCTCTAATATTTAGAATATCTGATGCACTTTTTCATCAGTAGATCTCAATACAATTTACAAGGGAGGTCAGTTTTCTTTATCACCATTTTATAGGTGGGGAAACTGAGGCAGAATAAGATCTAGGGCTAGATGTGGAGGTCTGACTAGAAAGCAGGCGTGTATTTTTAATAGTGAGGGTAACTAACCACTGGGACAACTTATGTAGTGAGGTCATGGATTCGCCATCATTTGAAGTCTTTAAATGAAGGCTGGCTATCTTTATAAACAATACTCTGTAGCTCAAACAGAAGTAATGGGCTTGATGTAGAAGTTACTGGGTGAGGTTCTGTGGCCTATGCTATCCCTCAGGTCAGACTAGATGATCCTAGTGGGTCCCGCTGGTTATAAAAGTCTATGAGCAAAAGGCAGAATAATCCTCTCCTATGTTAGGGAGTTCAGGATGTCTTTCCACAGCTCCACCCTAGACATCTCAGTGTGTGTATTTAATTGACTGTGTTAGTTTGTGGTTGTTTCATATGGCTTTATTTTATGTGCATTTGATTTTGCTCTCCCCCACAAGTGAAAGGGGAAGGAGGGTGAAAGGAAGACGTCACAGTTACCACAGAGTGGAAGATACCCTCTTGAGCACGTTTGTACAGATTCTAGCACCGTAACAATGAGCTCTTCTGCCAGCCTGCCGCCCGCAGAGTTCCTGTTGAGTGATTATTTTAATGCTGCTGCAGTTTTGTCGTAGTCCAGTAGAACCTCGGCGTTAAGAACACCTCGGGAATGGAGGTTGTTCATAACTCTGAAATGTTCGTAACTGAACAAAACGTTCTGGTTCTTCTTTCAAAAGTTTACAACTGAAGATTGACTTGATACAGCTTTGAAACTTTACTCTGCAGAAAGAAAATGCTGCTTTTAACCATCTTAATTTAAATGAAACAAGCACAGAAACAGTTTCCTTACCTTGTCAAAAAATTTTTTGAAACTTTCGTTTTATTTTTTTAGTCGTTAACACACCATTGTACTGTATTTTTTTTTTTGTCGCTGCTGCTGCTGCCTGATTGCGCACTTCTGGTTCCAAATGAGGTTTGTAGTGGACCGGTCAGTTCCTAACTCTGGTGTTCATAACTGAGTTTCTCCTGAATTGATTGCGATAGGGCAGCTAGAGCCTTGTACAGGCATCTTCTTCTTACTGAATCAGAATAAATAATTTGAGTCCCAATACCTAACTGCAACCCATAGGCAGCTGTAGAATTTAAATAATAAATGAACACTTCCATATGATAATGCTCATGCCCCTTGCTACCTTCTTACATTACTCAGCGGTTTGTATGTCAATTAGACCTATTGGGACAACTTTTTGAAACTGCCTACAAGTAGCCCCTCCGCCCCCAACCTGTGCACGCCAGTTCTGCATACGGGGTCATTTGTGTACACAACCTCCCATTCCCACCAGTAGATGAGTCTTCACAACTCAAAGCAAGATTCAAAACAAAATTAATTCTTCTTTTTTTTTTAAAAAAAAAATCTTATTTGTTAAATGAAACAGTGGTGTATTAAAAAACAATCACTTCTTTACATTTCAGCATTTCACCACCAGTATCAAAATCTAGTCAATTAAATCACAACAGTCATTTAAATAGTATTAAAGCCCCAATTCAGCAAAGGTAATTAAACATATGCCTAACTTCAAGCACATGAGTAGTTTATCTGCTTAAGTACCTCTGCTGAATTGGGGCTTAAAAGCTGAGAGACTTGTTAATATTTTTTTTAGATGAGTGCCCCAGAACCTTGGTATATAACTGTGATTCCTCTGTATCCCCTTGAGATGCTAGACAAATGGACACAATAGACAGCAGTAGTTTGTTCACTGACCTAAGGGCATGCTGGGAAACAGGGCCTCTGAAAAGGTCATACAGATATCAAGGTGCCAGACAGTTAAGCTTTGTATGTGAATAACAATCCCTGAAAATCAATATGATAGTTGTCTAGTGACAAGGATAGCCAACCCTACACAGAGGCAATACGGCGACTTGCTTTCAAGCAACTCAACCACCATGCACGAGAATTTACCACAAAATAAAGCCTTTGATTAAACAAACCAGCAAAGGAGTTTGTAGTAACTAGGACACAATCGGCAGTAGATAGATACTAGCACAAATTGTCTGTGTTTCAAGAGAGAACCCATCTAGGGGAATTGGTAAAACGTATGTTGGAAACACTGGAGGATACAAAGAGGCAGTTTGGATTTTAAATCATTATGATAACCATGCAACAGCTCTACTTGGAACTTGCCAATATCTAATTACCATGATGTCAGTCATTTAAGTGCTGAGTTGCTAGCTGTAAACCTTCATCTTTTCCTTCTTTTCAACGATTTAACCCCCACCCACACAAACAGAAATGGAACAAAAGATATGGCCAGTCAATCAGCAGCAAAACCACCTCCAGATAATCAAGAAGCAGAGTCCAGGAGAGCATTATGCATGGGGGAATAAGAGGGTTATCAAAGCGAGGAACAGCAAAACAGCTGAATGGTTAGGGGCATAATACAAAATTATATTTAGGGACCAATTCTAGGTAATATATTGAATGGGGAAAATGGAAAGGATATCAAAACACCATTTAAAGAGAAGCAGTGCAGCCCAGTGGTTAGGGTACTAGAGTGGAAGTCAGGTTCTTAGCTTTGCTGCTTCTCTGCTAAATATCTGTTTCTCTCTTTCTCCTCCCACCCTAGGCTGGGGCCTCTAGATGCTACTGTGATAGCTCTGATGTATTTATGTTCTATCTTTCTATATAGATGTATATTTCTGATTAGGAAACCTCCCTAGAGAAGCTAGAGAAAAGGTTATGAGGTCTGAAAATAAAATGCCTGTTTTGGTTTCAGTGATGGTATATAGCTATCTGTACATACCTTGCTAGATATGGCTAGCATAAATATAATGGGAGCACTGAAAAAAAAGGTCATTCCAGTTTTAGGAACAGTCATAGTTTCAGCAATATTTCCTGTACTTAAAGTGGGGAATACTTTTAGAATTGTAATGCCTTTAGAACTGCAAAGACTTGGCCACTGTATCTGTCTTAAATCTTATATGGCCCACGCCACCACAGTATCTGAGAGCTTCACAGTGTGTAATGTATTTAATCTTAAAGCACCCCTCTGAGGCAAGGCAATGCTACTATCCCCATTTTACAGATGGGGAACTGAGGCACAGAGAGGCTAAATGACTTGCCCAAGGTCACACAGGAAGTCCTGGGAGAGCAGGGAACTGAAGTTATTTCCAAACTAGTACCCTACCCAATGAACCATCCTGCCTCTCCCAGAGAAGATTTATTTTTATTATAAATTAATAACCATCATTTCTATAGTCCTAGGGCTGCTTTGACCTGTACAGACCCCTTAAGGGCTGTTAAACCAATCAGGGATCACTGGAGGGCTAGGGAGCTCTGACCACACTCTCAACATGACCCTGAAAGCGGGTGGCAGAGGGCCAGCTATGCTGATTGGGAGAAACTGCCCCAGGATTGCTCCTTATAGTAAGGGAATCTTCAGCTGGCCTCTCAGGCTAGCTTTAAATCTGCACTGTGCCACCATAGGGGAGCAAAGCTGTCTTGGTGGGGTCCAGGACCTGACCCAATTTCTATTGTGAAAAGTATAATGGCTACGCTGTTTGACTATGAAGATACTGGTGTTACACCTAAGCCCCTGTGTCTGTGAGGCTAGTTTCCCAAACCTGAAGAAGAGCTCTGTGTAAGCTGGAAAGCTTGTCTCTCTCCCAAGCAGAAGTTGGTCCAATAAAAGATATTACCTCACCCACCTGGTCTCTCTAGGCTACAGCTGCACACATTTTTCTGTACTTCGCCTGGTAAGGATTCTGAACACCCAGTCGATGTTGCTCTGGCAGATGAGATCATTTGCTGGGTGCTGTATTTAAAATAAGTTGATTAAACTGAACAAACTCTGCAGGGCTCATCCTCATACAGAAGCACATGTTTCAGGCATGTAACTGAGTGAAGAGTCTGTCTCTGCTGGAATTTGGAGGTTTCTCTCGACCAAAAGCAGTAGCTTGTGCCACTTGATCTGACGGAGCATCAGCACCTAGTGCCACTAGACTCTCTTGAGTGTAGTTTAACCACCTATTACCCCTGTAGCCACTAGAGGGTGCAAACACATTAACTACAGCTCTGACTTTTAACAAGGTGCTTGACTCCAAAAATACAGACACAAAGAGATTTTTTCCAGGGCATTTCATATTTGATATAAGTACCATTTACCAGGAGAGTAATGGGCTGCTGTAGCCTGAGATTTTTGCATCACGGAGTCTCCAGTTGAAGTTGGAGCTGCGTACAGTGAGGACAGCTGGTAATTTTAGGGAATCAAGGAGAATAGAAGCTGGCAACGGTGCTGCTGCATCCCTTTTAAAAAGGTAGCAAGGGGAAGAAGCAGTGGGAGCAGGTTTCAGATAAGAGTAGAAAGAGTGTGTCTGTGCAGAAGGGGGCAGGCTGGGGGACTCAGGGCATGAGAGAGGGCATGGAAAGGATGTAACATTGGGAGGGGGGACAGAAATAGATGGTAGGAGGAGGGGTGGGGGACATCCCAAAAGATATGAGTTGGAAGAAGAATTCAGTTTACAGGATGGACAAAAGTTCCAGACTATTCTTATCTTGCCAGATCCATTTCACCCATCCTTAGGGCCACACTGGGGCATTAGCAGCTATTGCCACAACAGTGAGGACAAGCACCCTGCCACAGGCTAGGCAGAATGGGTTTGGGAAGGGAGTGCACGCACCAGCAACAACCGCCAACCCTGTGACAAGAGAAAGTGCACACTTCCCCAGGGTAGCGTAAGACGAGGTTGGGACCTTTTCCCATCCCTTTGGGTGGTCTAGCCATGGCAGCTAGCTAAGTGTACCTGGACATTGCTCTCAGGAAATGCAGGTACCAAGATGGCAAGTGCAGCTCCAACATTTCAGTGATAACTGAGGCATGTTTGAGGTTAACTTGTTGACTGAACAAACAGCCGGGAATAACCTGTAAAGACAGTTCTGCTGCTGCTGCAATCTAGCCTGGCTCTCTTCTCAGTCTTTGCTGCTGGTTATTGGCCCTGCTGTGAGTGTTGGCATGAGATGACAGAAAAGGTGCCACTGCAATAGTGTGTCCCGGGCCATGTGACTATGTTAAGTTTTTTTGGTTAAGTTTAACCAATTATAGCCCACCTCTCTCACAAAGGTGAGGGAAAATGTTCCGTGTCCCCTTCCCCACATATGCACCGGAGGCTAGAGCAGCCTAAATTTGGCTTGTAGTTAATATGTCTACAGATGTACACCAATTAATAAAGAGCGGCACTAAGATACTAGAGAAGGGCAGAAAGAACAGGAGTACTTGTGGCACCTTAGAGACTAACAAATTTATTAGAGCATAAGCTTTCGTGGGCTACTGCCCACTTCTTCGGACGCATATAGAGTGGAACATATATTGAGGAGAGATATATATACACACACATACAGAGAGCATGAACAGGTGGGAGTTATCTTACCAACTCTGAGAGGGCAGGCTGCATAATACTTCTATAGCATTTCACATTTTCCAAAGCACTAAATAGATAACATTAACTAGGTAAGTCTCTGTGAGATGTTTCCCCCCCCCCCCCAAAAAAAGCCCCCCGTTTTGGATAGATGGGGAAATTGATAGAGGTGCAGGGCCACATTTTCAAAAGTGGCCCCTGATTTATTTTCAAACCCTCAATTTGAGACAATTTGAGCCTAATTTCCAGGGGTCCTTGGCCCCACTGGATCCTCAATTCATATTGACTTGAAAATCTTGCTGGAAGGGGGAAAAGTCCATAAAGTGGATTGACGGTAGAGTGGGGAATGGAACTGAAGGAGTCCTGTTGCTCTTATAAGCTCTGTCTAGCTTTAAGTACTTACTTATATGACCATCAGCACTGGAGTGGTCCAGTACCAAGCTCAATCTTTCTTAACAAGAGTATTTGTCATTACTGCTACTTTTGAAGTGGTTTTTTAACAACTCAGAAGTACTGAAAAATCTAAAATGCTGCAATTTTTTAAAATACATGTTTCCTTCCACTGTCTACAGTCTGTTTCGGTGGCTGTGGCTCGGGTTACCTAGGAAACTGCTGCAGGTCAGGCCTTGATTGGTTGTGTTGACGGCTTGATTGCAGTGTTTCAGGTGGTGGGCCTGTGAGTGCAGCACACAGCCAAGTAAATACACAGTTGTGGGCGCAAAGAAACGGCATGGAAGATGGATTGGGGAAGGGTATGACAGAAAGCAGGCATCCAGGGCTGGGGTGGAGCGAAGGGGGAAGGATTGCTGAATAGGAAACCAAGTCAGAGATGTAGGTCCTCTACTGTAGGACCTTGAAATCCAGACCAAGAAGTTTGAATTCGATGACCAGGGTGATGGTGTTCTAGTGAAGTTACTCAAAGGCAGATCTAAGGCACTGTTATCTGGTGGACCGTACTGAGGTTCTGCAGAAGATGGGAGTTCTAATCTTGCCTCTGCCACTGTGTGACCTTGAGCAAGTCACTTCACCTCAGTGTCTGCTCCTGCCCTTGGTCTTGTCTATTAGATTGTAAGCTATTCGGGGCAGGGACTGTGTATCATGTGTTTGTACAGCCTAGCACAATGGAGCCCTGGTTTCTGTTGGAGCCTCTAGCTGCTGCTGTAATACAAATAAATAATATTCATCAGAGGGTGACATCTTTGCTTCCTGCAACAGCTTATATGTTTGTTCTTAGAAGCCTGTATATGTGGATCAATCCTGACACTACTTTGCTTCTGAAATCAAAGCAAACGGTGGCCCAAGTTGGTGTATATCTCAGGGGGAGAATGTACCCTTTAGAGAGTAAATAACTGAAAGGGAAAATGGCAGCTTAGAATGTCTGTCTTAACTCTTCCCACTTCATTTTTTTTCCAGCCTAGCCCATGCATACTGAAAAGCTGTTCTGCACTGGCATCAGAGCATAATCACGTAACAATTCTCCTGGCTAAATCCCATGTTAATGTTCTGAAACATAAAGCTAGAAGTACACTGTGTCCGGACTCAATCTGAGAGGGGATTTTTTTTATTATGCTCCAGGAGCTCTGGATGGGGTTTAATTTTGAACTTTAGTGGAATAATAACAATGTGCACTTCTGAGTCGTTCTGCCAAAAAAACTTGCACATGGTGGTTATGTCATGTTCAGGTTCCTTATGGGATTCATAGATGCTATTGCAACCAGACATAAACAGTACCCAATAAGTGACTGTGAATCTCTGGGTGAGAAACCATTGCTTGTTTTTGGTGTGTGCCATTCCATTTATTTTCTTAACAATTTGTAAGCAGGTCAGATTTTTTAGTTAAGTGTAAAGTACCAATTGGGAATGATCTGAATTCAAATCTCAGGAGATAACTAACTTTTGTTATCTATTCTGTAGGAGTGCCAAAAAGCTTCAGCCAAGATCTTTTGTGATGGTACTGGCCATATCCATATTGAAAGTCGGTCCCTGCCCTGAAGACCTTATTGTCTAAACAGAGAAGACACAAAAGGTAGTGAAGGCACAGAAAGGTTAAGTGACTTACCCAAGGTCACATAGTAGTTAAGTAGCAACATCAAATATAGAACCCAGGTCTCCTAACGCCCAGACCTTGCACTATTCACACTGTCTCTCTTCTTTTAACAGCATATCTTTCCTTCTCATGCAAACATATAACCCCCATTTGATAAATCCTTGATTCCTCCTCCTCTTACATTTTCCTAGGTTTGCACAGTTGATTTTTAATAACTGTCCCTTTATTCCATTGTTCCCTTATTTGTATACTCAGAGAACTACCTGTATTTCAATAATCTATGTGTATGAAATGAGATTAAGGCAGAAATTGAATGGATCAACCAGTGAAAATAAATAATCAAGTAATTTTTAAACATGAAAATGAATCTATATTATTATGCAGGTACCACCAACTGAACCTTTTTCTTCAGACTTTCCTAAGCCACAGTGCAGACAGATTAAATGACATACACATGATTATATTTTATGTATTTATTTATTTTTCTTTTAGTGCTGTCTTTCTCTGGCATATTTCTTTCAGGGGATGAATTAACTAGCATCTATGTTATGGTACATAGAGGGAGCTGTTGGCATAGGTTTACTAGCTCAATCACAGTGAAAATTTTCCATTGTTACAGAGTACTTTATAAGATTCAGTTATTACTTTAAATGGGAAAAATCACATCCCCATCACTATATGATGGAGTCACATCTCAAAATCTGATCAGCTTTAAAGTACATAATTCATAGCACAAACAGTATTTTCTCCTACAGAAGTTCTTCTTTTGCCAAAGATTGTATTCCTTAGTTTATATAAAATATTTCGAATAAACACGGTTTTGTAGGGAATGCCAATAGCGACTTAATTAAATAAGGGAAAACTTGCTTCTCCATATATAATATTCATCATATATATTGAAGTTTCTCTTCTGAACAGTGCATTATTATAATGTCTAGAGGCATTGATTAGGAGTTCTTCCTATTGTGCTAAGTGCTGTACAAACATAAAACGAAAAGCCAGCCCTGCCCCTTAAAGACAAGTCTAAGACAAGACGAGAGATAAGTTGGGGATACAACAAAGGCATGGGAGGGGGAGGGGGGAAGAAAAGGTAACAATGAGACTGTTTTGACTGGTGTTTTATTATTCCCTGTTTGTCTTGTACTTATATTGGACCTTGCCCTGAAAAGTGATGAGAAATACCTTTAGCTTCTGTTACGTTTGGACAAAATTCTGCACCCACAATTGCAAAACCCCCCATTTTTTTTCAATGGGAAGAGAATCTAGCCCACTGGGAGCTAAAGGTCTTTAAGGGTATCAGTAGTAAGGGTGGCAGTATAAGGACGGCCCAGTGGTCTTAGGCACCAGTCTCAAGCCTCTATCTTCCCCTCAGCTGGGGTTTCTGGTCTCCATATGGAGGCGTGGGTTCAAATCCTACTACTACTATGTTCTCTTGAGGCTATGGGTGCTTAAAAACAACAAGAAGTCCTGTGGCACTGTAAAGACTAACAGATTTATTTGGGCATAAGCTTTCATGG